CACGTGGTATTTTGTGGAAGAGCCACACTCAAGGGGCCAAAGAGCGGCGGGTGGCTCACCAGCTGCAGTTTGCCGACCACTGCCCTAGCCGCTTTGGCTCAGTGGAGAGAGTGTCAGCCTGCAGACTGAAGGGTCCCTTGTTCGATTCTCGTCAAGGGCACACACCTGGGTTGCAGGCTTGATCCCCAGTGGGGGGTGTGCAGGAGGCAGCCTATCAGTGATTCTCTTTCATCATTGATGTTTCTATCTCTCACTTCCTCTCCCTTTCTCTCTGAAATCAATAAAAATATATTTTTAAAAGGGAGCTTTCATTTAATCCTCACGACCTCCCTATTTCACTGATGGGGAAACTGAGGCTCAGAGAGGGTAAGCAGCTCACTCAGGCCTTCAGATGAGCCCGGCAGGAAAAGGGCAGGTGTAGCCTGTGCTCCGGGGACTAATGGTCACCCAGGTGAGAAGCTGAATCGAGATGTGAACTGCCTAACGGCCAGGAGCAGCGGGGCCGAAGCCGCTGTGGCAGTGGTTCTCAACCTTGGCTGCACGTTAGAATCACCTGGGAGTCTTTTTAAAATCCTGATTTCTGGGCCTCAACCTCCAGAGATTCTGTTTCTTTGTTATGGGGCGAGGCCACAACATTAGTAACAAAGAAACAGAATTTCCGGAGGATGGGGCCCAGAAATCATGATTTTAAAAAGGTTCCCAGGTGATTCTAATGTGCAGCCAAGGTTGAGAACCACTGCCTGTGGGCTGGTGGGGGCAGTAGAGGGTGAGGAGGAGGAGGTCGAGGCAGGAGGTGGAGGTTCTGGAGGAGGATTCAGGGTGACTCTCTGGGGGACAGTGCCTGGGTGTTCAAATGTTCTAGGGCGTTAGGGAACCCTAAAGATCTTTTGTCTCCCCCTTCCCAAGACTGACTCTGTAGGTCTGGGGTGGAGGCCTGGCCTCCGCATTTGTATTTTGGGATTTCAGCGGGATCTTTGCCTCCTTCCCTCTTCACTCTGTGTCTGGTCAGGTCCGACACCAGGTGCAAGTGTCAGATGGCCGGATGAGCCGGCGACAGGTAAGCCTTGGGGAGGGCATGCCACTCCAGCCAGGTGGCCACAGCTGCCGTGGCACCAACTCCAGCCTGAGAGTGAGACTTGACCCTGCACCTCCCCCGCGTGGCCCTGGGCCAGTCACCTCCAAGTGCCTTTCCCTGGGTCTCTGCCTGGCTTTTGTAAGATGAGCACCAGACATCCTGGGCAGGTTGAGAGCAAATGAGCCGCAGCACGTGAGAGTCGGATGGATGGCCGGGGAGCAAGGGAGCAAGAAGCAAGAGCAGGGCATAGGGTCGAGGCCTCGCCAGCCGGTCACCAGCTGTGCTGAGCTGGGCCCAGGGGAGGGAGGGTGACAGGGGACAGGAGGGGCTCCCGGGGAATGATGTGAGGGGTCAGGGGCAGGTCAGGGGCAGGAGGCAGGCCGGGCCAGGAGCAGTTTGGCTTTGATCGAGCATGGGCCTAAAGCTTGCCTGGGGAGTCTTAGGACTCTGGTGCCAGCAGGAGCCCCCTTCCCGGGTGCCTGGGGTACAGAGATCCTGGGGACCGAGGTGGGTTTGCCTGGTCTTCCTCATCCTTCTGAGAGGGATAAGCTCCTGTGTCTCCCCACCCCCTGTTTGGGTGGGAACAAACCTGCCGAGTTATTTGGTCTCCCTCCTCTCACCGCGCCCCCCCCCCCCCCGCCCGCCCCGGGGCTGGGGCAGAGCAGAGGCGGTCCAGGCCAGTGGGGAGGAGAGGGAAGCAGTGACTACTTGTCCTTGACTTTCTATTAAGTGTGACCGATGCTCTAAGGCAGCGATTCTCAACCTTCCTAATGCCGCGACCCTTTAATACAGTTCCTCATGTTGTGGTGACCCCCAACCATAAAATTATTTTCGTTGCTACTTCATAACTGTAATTTTGCTACTGTTATGAATCGTCATGTAAACATCTGATATGCAGGATGTATTTTCATTGTTACAAATTGAACATAATTAAAGCATAGTGATTAATCACAAAAACAATATGTAATTATATATGTGTTTTCCGATGGTCTTAGGCGACCCCTGTGAAAGGGTCGTTCAACCCCCAAAGGGGTCGCGGCCCACAGGTTGAGAACCGCTGCTCTAGGGGTTCAGGATGGAGCTTGGAGCCTCAGTCAGCCTGGGATGGGGTGAGTCAGTGTCCTGGAGGCTCAGAGGGCTGTCTATCCAAGCTCTGGCCCTTTGCCCCCACGCACCCCCTCTCCCAGGGTCTCTCATGGACCCGGGCCATTTCCATCTTATCTCACTTTTGGGGTCAGAAGGCCCTAGAAGCTGATTTGCTAGGCTTGAATCCCAGCTCCACCACTTCTTTGTTTTGTTGTAGTTTGTTTTTAAATATAGTTTTATTGATTTCAGAGAGGAAGGGAGAGGGAGAGAGAATTGGAAACACCAATGATGAGAGAGAATCATTGATCGGCTGCTTCCTGCACGCCCCACACTGGGGATCGAGCTTGCAACCCGGGCATGTGCTCTGACCAGGAATCAACCCGTGACCTCCTGGTTCAGAGGTCGACGCTCAACCGCTGAGCCACGCCAGCCGGCTCCACCACTTCTTAGATGTATGACCTTGGGCAAGTCAGTCAGCATCGCTGTGGCTCAGTTTCCCTGTCAGATAGGGAAACCAGTGGTATCTATCCCAGTGGGTTGTTGGGAAGATCAAATATGATAAGACTTGTAAAGCATTTGGAACAGTGCCGGGCACAGAATAACTGCTCAGTGGAAATCTAGGTGGTTGACGAGGAAGCCAGCTAGCATGGGACGACGGGATTTCATGACCAGGGCCTCCTTCTGTCCTGCAACCTGCTCCTCCCAAAAGAAGGGCACAAATTCCTCACCTCTTTATGGCCCAGTGTTGGGACCCTCATCTGGGGGCCTGGATTCCAGTCTTCTTAAACAGGCCGAGTAGGAAGAAGGCTCCAGCCCCCCCAGACCTCTCCCGTACCTCCCGATCTTTGTAGGACCTGAGGCTTGGGGTGGGGATCTGGCAGCTGAGGAGGCCAACTCCCCCTCAACCCGAACTCTCCTGTCCTGTCTTCTCTCGGGGTGGCTTTCCCTCTAGGCACACTAGCTGCAAGTCTGGAGTCTCCAACCCCCACAGTAGCTTGTTCAGGCCTGGTGCGTTGTCATGACAACCTGGAGCCTCCCAGCCCCACTGCAAAGGCCCCTCTGAAAAATTTATCAGGAAAACTTCCGTGTTTAAAAATTAACCATGGGATTGAAATATTAAAGATGAGCCGCTTTGGGCAATGGACTTGGGGTACAGGAGCCAAGTTCTTCCGTCCTGACAGGATGGCATCAGCCCATCACCCCAGCTTCCAGGGGCCCCGTGACCAACGCCAGCCCACTCCACCCCTGTCTGCAAAGTCCAAGGTTCTCCTCCTTCAACTGAGGCTGGGCCGGGGTAGGGAGGCAGGAAGGAAGGCACCCGCTTCAGCAGGTTCCCAGGGTCACACTGCACCCCACCTCCTGTTTGCCCCTTACCTGCAATACTTCTGAGGGCCTCCCTTTAGTCCACCTGAGGGTGGGCGGCCCTGCCAACATCAGGGAGGGCCTGGCCTGAGGCAGTGAGCAGACCAAGCTGCCCTCTCCATCCTGGCTGCTCCCGAGACTGGCCCCAGAGAGGGTGGGCTGGCACTGCCCCCTCGCTGCACACCGTGCCCTGACCCAGACGGCAGAGTGGGCTGTGCCCAGGTGCGCACACTCCCCAGGGAAGGAACAGGGTCTTGTGCAAAGCATCTTCCCCCAAAATCAATGGTCCCCACGGCTGCTGGACTGGGCCCTCCTTTCCCCAGGGCTACTCCCTGTCCTGGGGTTCCCCTGACTCCCCGATTCCCACCTTCAGGCCTCCCCAGGTTGACCCTCCCTCTGCCCTCTCCCCACCCCCAGCCTGTCCACCTGGCCCAGGTGAGTTTCGTCATCCCAGCCTTCAACTCCAACTTCACTCTGGACCTGGAGCTGAACCAGTGAGTGTGGCCTTGAGCCTGGGAGGAGGGGCTACAGGGGGGGAGCAGGCAGGGCCTGGACTCGGCTGACTGGCTGGCTGGCTGGGGTGGGGAGACTGAGCCGGGCGGGGGATCTGGATCTGAGCTGAGGCGGGACCCGAGCCCGGCCCAGACCCACCAGTGACCCGTTCCTTCCTCCTGCCCATTCTGCTCCAGTCACCTTCTCTCCTCCAAATACGTGGAGCGCCATTTCAGCCGCGAGGGGACCACCCAGCGGAGCACGGTGAGTGACTCTGGGAAGGACAGGAGGCCACTGAGATGGGGTCAGGGGTGTCCTTGACGCCTGGGATGGGCCTGGCCCCTCAGGACCCTCCATTTCTCCCCAGGTTGAGGTTTGGAGGGTCGCAGTCGGGGTGGCATGTCAAAGGGGGTGTGGAACCCTGAGCTCCTCTTGCCCAGCTCCAGAGGCCTGAGCCCAGCCAGCTCTCTGCCCAGCATGGAGGCATTCAAGCACCCTCACTGCTCCACGCCCAGGCATTCTGGGAGGGGGCTGTTGGGGAAATGTCCTTTTGCTCAGCACCAAGGCCCTGGGAATCCCTGGCTGCCTGGATACTAGGGTGCCAGCCCTGGAGGCCCCGGGACCCAGCCAAGATGAATGAGTATCTATAAATAGCCTCCCCCCCCCCAGCCTGTTCAGTAACTGGAGCACAAGTAATTCTGCAGGAAGCAGGGGAGGGGCTGCTGGTCCCCTCTGACCCACGAGCTGGGCCAGGAGGACACATGCTGCTCACAGTTCCTCAGACACAGACCAGGTGTCCAGGGGTGGTCCACGGAGGCAGTGGCATCTGTGAACACACTCTGTGTGAAATTGTGTGGCACATAGTAGGTGCTATCTGAATGCTATTCTTCTCAAAGCAGCCTGGGGTCCCTGCATCAGCCCCAACAAATGGTTAAGAACCACAGATGTAGTCCAACTTCCTCATTTTGTAGGTGAGGTGAAGGAGGCCCAAAGAGGGCTAGGAAATTCCCCGGGTGAAACAGCCAATTAGGAGTAGAGCCGGGCCGTGAAACCCAGTGTCCCCAGGCCTGCAGCCACCTGCACACGGGGCACCTCCAGGGGCCCGCACCTGTCCTCCCGCCTTCATGCCAGGGCAGGGGGCATGTCCGATAACGTTCTGCTGCTCCTCCAGGGGGCGGGAGACCACTGCTATTACCAGGGGCGGCTCCGAGGGAACCCCCACTCCTTCGCTGCTCTCTCCACCTGCCAAGGGCTGCAGTGAGTATGGGGAGGGGCTGGGCGGCCGGGAAAAGCCTCCAGCCCCGGCCTGGGATGGTGGGGAGCTGTGGCGCCTCTCTCTCTGCAGTGGGGTCTTCTCGGACGGGAACTTCACCTACATCGTGGAGCCCAGAGAGATGGCCGGGCCTCGGGAAGCCCCCCGGGTGAGCTTTCACTGTTCCCGCTGACAGCCTGCCATGCTCATCCTCATGGCTGTCACTGTCCCCTCCTCCCCCCTTGGTAACCTCAGCCTCACTGCCCTCGGTGACCCCAGCTCTGATTCACCCCCCTGCCCCCAGCTCCAATGTCCCCGCTGTCCCCCAAGTAACCTTCCATTGGGCTCTAGTGTCCTTGGCCCCTATCTCTCAGGGCGCCCCCAGGTCTTGACCCTGGAATCTGAGCATCTGGGAGATCAGATCCGACATGGGAGCTCTGGCCAGTTCTCGGTCACTCTGGGGGGTGGGGGGCGGGCGGGGAGGGCTGGAGCTGTCCCCCCTCCCAGCTGGGCTCAGAGCAGACCTAGTCAGCCTTCTAAGAACTAATTTCCCCTCATTACAGGGACCACATCCCCACCTCATTTACCGGACCCCGCTCCTCCCAGCCCCCATTGGATGCAGGGAACCAGGTAAAGGAGGAAAAGTGGGGCTGGGGAGGGGACCGGCTGTGCCCCCCCTCACCTCTCCCTTCCCCCAGACTGCCTGTTCGCCGCCCCTGCCCATGCTGCTCCTCCGGACCGGCCGAGGCTGAGAAGGAAAAGGCAGGTACGGGGCCCCCACAGACCTCGGGCTGCAGAGACCTCAGGCTGTGGTCCAGAGCAGGAGGACACCCCCCAGCCGTGGCTGGGGCAAAGAGCTCAGACTGATGTGGCTGGGCCAGGGCGCCATCTCTGGGAGGGAGCCCCCCACCTCATTCCCTGTGTCCCCACGGTGGGCTAACAGGGGTTGCCTGCCCTCCTGTCAAGGCTGGGGCGGAATGGTACCCCTGCCAGTGGGGGCTGGCATTGTCCCTGGATGGAGTCCAGGCCCCTAAGTCTGTCCATGGCTTGGCCATGACGCCAGGCGTGGAGGGGACTG